TATATATATTATCCTTTGAACGTACATAAATCACTACCATGGCCATTTCAACCTATACACAATTCAGAAAAAGTTGCAGCAGTTCAAAGCCAAGCCTGACATTGACATAGACAAGACATGAAAACAATTAAATATAACAGTTAATATAACCGATATACTTGCTCACGCCAATAAGATCTAATTTGGAGTATATCTTCAATTCCCCATTTGAATTTAAAGGCTTCGTCACCTCCATTTGTGATTGAAGCTTCCATTTTTCCCAAATGACTATCAAGAATTTGTATAATAATTGTTAGAATACACAATGTAATTAGGGTAAATCAAGTTTTGCTACCAAACTTATAAATAATGCCATTTTTAGAATATGTTTGCAACTTGATAGTTTTTAATCTTTTGCTTTTTCTTTGGCAATAATAGCCTCCAAATCAAAATATATCGATAAAATAAAGTTGATTGTGTATACCTAAATGCTAGTAGTTTGACAAACTCTGAATTGATTTGAATAGGTTAAAGCCATCAACCTCATGTAAGAATTCCATTCTAACACAAAGACCGGATATAATATCAAAATACACATGATAAGCTTAAAACTTACTCTTGTTTCTTCCTTGGTGATCTCTTTGGTAGATCACTTAAGTAAGTGCCTCAAGAACCTTTGATACACCTATTCATTTTTGTCATATAAAAAAATTCATATAATTAGATTGCATCTACTATTGTTGGTCAAATTTTCCAAGCATCATGCTTTAAAAAATATACATTTTTTTAAAAAGTGGCACTAGTCCTTTCTGCCTTTTTTTTGAAGCTTCTTCGTGTAGAAGTCAAGTTCTTTTCCCTCCATTATGTAACTAACACATCAAAAAACCACAAATTAATATCACTTCACAAAAGGTTAAAACAATCAACTATCTTTCTGGTCGGTCTATATTTATAACATAATAAATTATACTAAATCTATTGAACTGATGTGTGATTGCCCAAGAATGACACCACTTTTATGAGATGTTGAACATTATGTGCAGATAATCATATAATATAAAAGTGGGTGGAACCTGCAAGGAAAACAAGCAAAATGAAGCTAATAAGCATGAGGAGATTAGTGCAAAGTTATGAAGAAAAATGTTGCTGGGAAAATTGACCACTCATCAATATTTTGGTCATATCTCAAGCTCTGGAGATCCTATTGACCTCATTCAAGAATTTTAGGAAGCTAAAGACAATTTCCTACAACTTTCATATTTTGTGCTTTTGTTGATCCTACTGTTTTCAGCACGGAAATGTGTCCGGAAGACGAATGACAGGGATCAGGCGTCTATGACGCCCTGAAGGACACCAAGGTCAAAAGTCAACATCTAAGTGGATTCCGGGGCAGGGAAACGAGTAAGGCCCCATCGACATACTAGAAGGCGTCTTAGACGTCCTCTAGGGCGTCAGGGAATTTTTGGGGTGTATCGTGTTGGAACGACGTGTTATGTAAAGTTTTCATATTTGTGAAGGATGTCCTACACAACGTTTAAGACGTCCCCTAGGACGCCTACCGTTTTAGGCCATTTTCTAGTGTATTTCAAGGATGAAAGAGAGCATGCAAAGATGTGCAAAGAATGCTTAGACGTTATACATGTTGTCTAAGACGTCTCCTAGGACGTCTAACGACCCACATCGCCCGATTTCACTATTTTCGACCACACTATATAAATAGGAACCTTTGCATTCGTTTTTAGGGTTCCCACTTCCGAAAATCAGAGTTCTTACCTATGTTTTTTGGCTTCTAAACCCTTAGAATCATTTCAAAGACACAATTCCATTCCATTTCAATCCGAATTAAAGGAGAGATCTTATTCAATTCATCATCAAGCAACGTTCGGAGATCATTTAACCAGTGAATCATCATCAATTCATCTAATTTCCATAAACGATTACTTACTCCCTAAGCTTTATTTGTTTCATATTTTGATAATCATTAGGTTACAGTTGTTTGATGATTTCATGTTTGTTTATGAATTCTACTATGCATTTTATTCATTTCATCCAAATTATTGTTTTTATGAATTCAATGGAAGGCTAAACCATTAGGTTACTTCTGGGGATATTTAGGACTTTTGGATGAATACACTTATTATTACTTGGTTCTAGTTAATTTTAATTATTATTTTATGTTCATATGATGATCTTTTGGTGAAAAATGATTGAAATTTGGTTATATGAATTTGTTTGATTTCATAACTAAAATAGTGCAATGTCAATTCACCGATTGTTCGAAGTTCAAGTAGTTTAGGAACAAAGACAGTTGGTTCAGTCCACATGTATTATTCCAACTTGTGACATTGAATGCTTAATAATGTAATATGAAGTTGCAAGAAATTCTATTTCCAATTCACTAATTGTTCCTAATCCAGTTAGACCTAGGGAGTAAGACAACTAGTTGAATGAACATATGATGTACCAAAAACTATGTTTTACAAGATAATGTACCCCAATTGCATTTTGGTAATTGAATTAGGATTCTAGGGAAGAAAGTCTGTGAATTTGAACTGCCCGACAACTGAACCATGAGTATCTCACTTTTCTCATTGAGAGTTTCATTTTAATTAATCATTTTCCAAGCTTGTAAGTTTACTCTTTGTTTAAATCTTTCTCGTGATAATTGTAAGTGTTAGCTCTTTTTCATTGATTACTATAACTCAAACTTTGACCACGAACTCCACGTGGATTCGACCCGACTTAACCTATCTACATAGGTTAGTTTTTTTGTTTTTGATTGAGACAACGACTTCGATCACTTTCCAATCCTCCACTACAAGAAACCTGATCCCATGGAATTAACACTTACCGTGTCCAGTTTCTACCACAACATTGTTCCAACTTGAGATTTTATCTAAAACAAAATAATTACCAAAATATTAATCACAAGTTACACAAAAAAGGAATTATACTTTAAAGAATATACCCAATCATGTCATTGCACTTTAGTTTTTTTTTTCTTATTAGAACATCACATTGAAAAATGTTCCATTTATAAAGATTGCTTCATATTTGGGTGACAATGTTAAAATTTAGTAGATTTTCAAAATATTAAAAAATGCATTTACTCTAAATTGTTATATATTTAAATCATAATATACTTGAATCAACCTATGTTACGTGTAATGGGGGGTTTTGGTCGTAACTTTGGTCGTGGTTCTGGTGCCGGCGAGACAAGTGTGATCGAACCGGTGACCTTGAGTAGCTCTTGCATGTCTGTAATAAAAAAAATATTGATTAAAGTATTTTAATAAAAATAGCAGTCAACAATGGTAAGGTGGAGATATGAAGGAAACAAAGATAAGTTTTTAGGGTTGTTTTCACAGTTTCAATCCAATTATAGCATCAGAATGCACTGTATTGTATTGGGAAAAATATGTGACAATTGGATAGCTTTTTCAAAGCAAAATGCAATAATAAGAAGGACCGAAAAAAAGGGTGTTATGATAAGCAAAAAATTTAAGTACATCGCTATTTACAACATTCGATCCTTTTAAAAATAATCTTATTATGTCAGTTGTTGAATCAAAAAATGTCATTATGATGAAAAGATCTTAGCGTCGGAGGTAAAGGGCATACCAATTGAATGTTTTTGGTTGTTGAGAGCCAGCTGAATTGAGTCTACGCTTCTACTTAGCACGTTCATCTCTCTCTAAGAAAACTGTATTCCAAATTAAGCCGTCAAGATTAAGCATGTTAACATTGGTATAGAAATTTTCATGTGCATAGAACCTTGCATACTGTTTACCTTGTTTCGAGTTTAGCATCTCATTTAGACTATGTTTTGTACTTTCTCTTCATAGCACAATAATCTGAAAGCCGACAACCACAAAAGTTGAGAATACCTACAACAAAACGTACATATAGCTTAAAAATTGGTCAAATGTAGGTTTGAA